ATTTTCGAATAATAGCAACTTAAACTAATTTGCTCATTTCCAATTTATTGGAAGATGTTGCACGTAAATGGTCTTCCTAGATCTGGAACCAATATTTCCCAAAGACCTCTCAGAAGTGGCAAAATATTAACATTTATTATTGGTTTTTGACTGAAACGCATCTATATGAGATACAGACATTTGACTATATTCTTCAACGAAATCGGCGTTAACGAAATAGTCAAAAGTGCGTCTTTCCTGTATTTGTGAATTCTCCAAAAAGTCACTGGAATGGACATTTTCGTATTTTGTCTAAAAAAGTTGGCAAACTATTTCACACATTGAATATTTTTGGATGGCCATCCAAAACTGCTTGGCTTTTGAAATGTCCGGTAACCCCCATTCAAATGTGCGTGAGGATCGGGCGATAATTACGACCTGCAGACAATTTTGCAGTTTTTTGGTCCATTTCAACCCCAAAATATATGGCGATCATCTCCAAAAAGAGTACGTTTCTATTCCGACCCTCATCTTATCTCCATGCAAAATTTCGTAAGGATCGGGCCATAAATGCGATCTGTATATGATATCCTGATATCCTAACTACTTAGTTTTGTTAGCTGTAGAAATATTACCAAATGTTTAATTCAAAATGAAAATATGCCAAAAATATGACAAAATTGAAAAAATATGAGAAAATTTTACAAAATCAATATTTTCATCTTTAGAGAGATATTTTTATGAGATTTTTTTAGACGTTTTTTCTTTCCTGCCAAAAGGCCATTCTAAATTAATGAGAACTGTCGAAATCAGTTCAGCCGTTCTCACATATAAGAGATTTTTCAAGCATATCTTCTTTGATAAACATATATATCGCACATATTTTGCTATATATCCGTTTTGTTGGATGTTAACATCAATGTAGAGATCAGAAGTAACCTTGTCATTGCTTTGTGGTTTCGCCGGGATTTAAAATATTCGCGGTTTAATGAAAAATTTTGAATTTTTTCAACACAAAAGATATGGTCTATTTTACCCGCTAAATATTATCCGAAGGCCACCCAAATTGGCAGGCTTCTTCCCCGCCCTAAACTCTAGCTACATGCGAAATTCCGCGTCGATTGGTCTATAATTGCGACCTGTATAGCTACTGCAAAATCCGACAATTTTTCAGTATTTGGTCCATTTCAACCCCTAAACATTTGGCGATCATCTCCAAAAGAAATAGGGTTCTATTCTGACCTCAGTCCCACCTCCATTCTAAAGTTCGTGAAGATCGGGCCATAATTGCGACCTGTGGAGTGATTACAAATTAACATGGACAGACGGACAGACGGACAGACGGACAGACGGACGGACGGACATACATAGCTAGATCGACTCAGCTCGGCGAGCTAGGAAGATCCATATATACTTTCCTATGTGGGAAATCAATATTTCGAGGTGTTACATAATTTTTGGGCCAATCAAACTTATAATACCCTCAACACATAGTGTTGTAGGGTATAACAACGACTTGAAGAGTAATAAAGGCGTAATCGTGGGTTTTTAAACTAATTGACCATAATCGTGAATTTTTAAACAGTCTTTTTCGAGGAGCTTTAGGGATTCAAATAGACTTTTCTCAATGTGTAAAGGAGTAATAATAGCGGATATTTATGCATGTATTTAATATAGGACGACTGTAGCCATTATCATGGATTTTCAATCATACTATTCTCTAGGACTAAGGATCACATGATGGTGTTTACACCCGCCACCTGGAAAGGAGGAGGTATATTAACTTTGTCATTCCATTTGTAACATACCTAAATATAAAGTACATTTATTATTGATCAGCGTAAAAAACAAGTCGATTTCTGTCCCTCTCTCCGTTGAAATCATGATATACCCCACATTATTTGACGTAGAGAATAAAAAGTTGGCAAAACAATTTGTATTGTGTCTAGGTTGGTTGGTATTGAAAATCAGATATATCGGTCCACGTTTTGGTATAACTGCCATATAACGGTACCTCCCGACTTTCGGTATTTTGATTATTTTTGCCACATTTTTCCACGGATTTTTTTAAAAATTGGTAATTTTAGGTTATAATGGGTTGCAGCTCCTGTGGCAGAACATTGAATAATTAGGTCCATGGTATCCTTTAGCGCACATATAAAAATACCCGCCGATATTTTGATAATCCAAGTCACATTTATCGACGAAAGTGTTTCAAATTTGGTATTAAAGAAGATTTGGTAGATGACAATCCTTGAAGTATAAAATTGTCTATAGAGGTTCTCGTTTTGTTATAGCCCCCATAAAATGGCCTCACACACTTTATAGTTTTTTTTTTTAAAGTTTAAAGGTTTTATCCAAACGGATTTACTGGTTCAGATATTTTTATATAAAAATGTTTTCTTTACCCAATGGTAAAGGGTGTTAAATGTTCGGACCGTCCGAACATATTTTTTTTCTTGCTAAAAATAATTTATCGATGACAAGGAGGCGTAACTAATCGTGTCCTTTTAAACATTAAATATTTTTCTTTAGGACTAAGGAAGCCGTAATCGTGTTTTTTTTTTTGTGAGGGGAGACAGAATCGCGGGTTTTTTTTAAGACGAATAGGAGATGTATTCGAGGATTTCTAGACTTATTTTTCCTATGGACAAAGGAAATCATAATCATGGATTTTTTTACATAAGCGTGGATTTTAAAACCACTTTTGCTCGAGATCTAATAAGCCATAATCGTGGATTTTTTAAACAATTTTTCTCAAGGATTAGGGGAGTTTTAATCAGCCATCATTCAACCAAAGGTGGTTATAATTAAGGATTTTTCAACTAATTTTTCTCGAGGACTAAGTGAGCCAAAATCTTTGATTATTACATAAAATGTTCTTCAAGATTTTAATTTTCTCGGGGACTAGGCGATTTTTAAATATTTTTTCTGTCGGACTATGGAAATACAATCGTGAATTTTAAACATTTTTCCTTAGACTAAGTAAGTCATAATCGTGAACATATAGGAAGAAGGCGGAAATAAATTGGATTTCTAAATCACTTGTTCTCCAGGACTAAGGGAGCCATAATGGAGGCTTTAGAACACATTTTTCTAAGTTATTCTCGACGACAATGGGAGAAATAATCGTGGATTTTGAAATTAAGAGATTCATAATGCTGAATGTTTAAATTAATTTTTCTCGAGGACAAAGGGAACCATAATCGTAGATTTAAAAAAAAATATTGTCTGGGACATACAAAGCCATTATATTGGATATTTTAACTAATTTTTCTTCAGGACCTAGAGAGCCATAATCCTTGGTTTTTAAATTTATTTTTCTCCGGAAAAAAATTAATAAGCATACATAATTTTTCCTAGGGACTCAGGAAGTCATCATTTTGAAAGCCATATTTTTTATACTCCCAGCCATATGGCTAAGGAGGATATGCATCATTTGCCTCAGCGAAACAACGAAAGTAAAGACCTAGTGTCTCTCCGTTTAAGGATATTTGGAATCGATCTAGCGATGTCCGTCCGTCCGTCTGTCTGGTTGGTGTGAGCGATAACTCCCGAATGGAGAATCCGATTAGGACCAAACTTTGTACACCGTAATATTATTATCAAACTTAGATTGAGTTCGGTGATGGGTAATATCGGTCCACTGTGGACCTATATACACAATTCTTTTTCAGGGGGTAAAGTCGTCACGAAGTAATCCTCGTGTAGAATTTTAGACAATTCCACTGAAAAATTTGGTTAAAATAGTCAAAATATCGAATATCGAGGGTACGGTTATATGGGTGATATAAGATATCGTTGACCGATATAGCCCATCTTCGAACTTGATCTGCCTGCACACAAAAGACTGATCTGTGCAAAATTTTAGCTTCCTATCTTAATTCGATCTGACTCTATCGTGGATACAACAAACGGACGGACAGGGCTAAATCGTCTTAGAATTTTACGCTTATCTAGAATATATGAGTTACAAACGGAATGACGAACTTAATATACCCTACTTATTATACCATATACATGGTGGAGGGTATAAAAATTCCGAAAGTCAGATGTTAGAGCTATAACGGGGTAAACGTGAACCTTCAATTGTCTGCCAGGTCCAGATGGTGGTATGTTTTACGAATTTCAAACACCAAGTTTAAGGCAAATCTGTTGAAAACATTTAGCATAGATCATCAAAATACCGAATATTGGGAGGCAATTTCTGTCGTGGGAAGAAATATACTTTGCAATCTCAAAATTTCCGATATATATTTGATATAATTCAAGTTCTACGCAAGGATGTTGCCTACATGCTGCGAACACAAACAGTAAATTTACAGCAAATTCGGGTTAAAATTGTGACTAAAACAATTAAAACGCCTCAAAATGGACGGTAGTATTAAATGGGGGCTTTATCAAAACGTGGATCTACTTGACTATTTTCAATACAAAAAGTCCTGCATATCTTAAATAAATCGAGCAAAATTTGATCTCTGAATTTAATTTTATGCTGATCAAGAATGTGCATATTTTAGGGGGTCTAACTTTTATATTTCAAGGTGTTACATGACCGAGTGACAAATTTAATCTACCCTCCATACTACGGTGGAGGGTATAAAAATTGACCATTTATTTGTTTGATTCAGTAGAAGACATCATATAATTACTTGGATAACTTAAAAGCAGAGCAACACATTTAATTAAGCCTCCATCATAGGGTGCAGGTCATTAAATATCTCACTAATTTGTATGTCAAACCCTCAAACAAATTACATTCACAAAATAGTTGACCAATTACTCAAAATGTTGGTCACTCCAGTTAAACACACACACACGCACACATTTTCACACAACGAATAGATTAACAACGTTGTGGTTGTTGTCGTCGTTGTAGTCTGCCTTGTCGCCAAGCTAAAAAAAACAACAGCAACAAATTTAAAATCGTCACTAACTACTTCGCAAGCCATAATTACAGATTGGGGGATATCATCTTCATAACAACAATCTCGACGGCCGGACGAGCGCTCCACAAAAAAAGTGTGTGTTCACAACTTGGTAAGGAAAAGTGAATCGCCAACATCTTCTTTATAGCAAAAGTAGCAGCAACAACAATCCAGACAACATTCATAAAAATTTGTAAGTTGCAGATGGACGGACGGACGGATAGTTGGTTGGACGAATGGATAGATGGATGATGACCAGTCGTTTTAAGATGAGCAACTTTTTGGTAACAGCAACAATTTTTTCAAAAACCGTGTCGCTGCTAATTTTGCTTTTTTTTTTTTGGTGAAGGGGTTCAGTCCGCTGTTGCCACAAGGAATGTAAGATGTGCAACTGATTGCCAAGCAGGTTGCAACATCTCGGCAGGAGTGCACTGTAACAAATAACAAGAAGATGATGACGACGGCGACGGCGACGACGACGACGAAAAAAAAAGAAGCGCCAGTTGTGTCATAATAAGTTGTTGGCTTATTAACAACGACAACACCAGCCAACGACAACAACAACAACCTTTCTACCATCACCAGATATTGTTTTCTATAAAAAGTTGTTTTATTTCGTTTCTTTTTTTGTTTTGTTTCAAAATTTACTTTTTTAGATTTTAATTTTGTTTTATTGACTCTACTGGCCAAGTTTATCTATAACTTCGAAAATTGTTGGTTTCGCTTTTTTAGAAAGGAGGAAGTAACCAGGCAACTCCATGGTACCGGTGCTGGTGGTGATGGTGGTGGCCATCAAGCAAACAAACACTGGTGGCTTCTGGTCTAGACCCCCTGGCAAACACTCTAAAAAAATAATGTTCCTTGGAAAAATTTAATTTATTACGTTTTTTTGGTATTCCATTCATGGGATTTCGGTCGGATTTTCTGTTGTTTATTTTCGCTTCTCATAATTGGCCGATACAAATTACAAACAGTTGCCTTTTTAATTTCCAACAAATCATAAATGAAGGGCCAACTTTGGGATTTACAATTGTTGGTGGTGTTATTGTTGTTGATGTTGCCGTTTGGGGAACAATATCCAACATTTAGTATAATTATGGCGGAAATGTTGTAAAATAAAAAACAAAGCAACAAAAAAAATGAGAAACAATTATTGTTATTATTATACCCTACAACACTTTGTGTTGGGGGTATTATAAGTTTGATTGGGCCAAAAATTATGTAACACCACGAAATATTGATTTCCCACATAGGAAAGTATATATGGATCTTCCTATCTCGCCGAGTTGAGTCGATCTAGCTATGTATGTCCGTCCGTCCGTCTGTCCGTCTGTCCATGTTAATTTGTAATCACTCTACAGGTCGCAATTATGGCCCGATCTTCACGAAAGTTAGAATGGAGGTGGGGCTAGGGTCAGAATAGAACCCTATTTCTTTTGGAGATGATCGCATAATATTTAGGGGTCGAAATGGACCAAAAACTGAAAAATGTCGGATTTTGCAGTAGCTATGCAGGTCGCAATTATAGACCAATCGACGCGGAACTTCGCATGTAGCTAGAGTTTAGGGCGGGGAAGAAGCCTACCAATTTGTGTGGTCATCGGATAATATTTAGCGGGTAAAATAGGTCATATCTTTTTTGTTGAAAAAATTCAAAATTTTTCATTAAACCGCGAATATTTTAAATCCCGGCAAAATCACAAAGCCTTGGCAAGGTTACTTCTGATCTTTACATTGATGTTAACATCCAACAAAACGGATATATAGCAAAATATGTGCGATATATATGTCTATCAAAGAAGATATGCATGAAAGATCTCTTATATGTCGAGAACGGCTGAACTGATTTCGACAGTTCTCATTAATTCAAAATGGCCTCTTGGCAGGAAAGACAAAACCTCTAAAAAAATTGCATAAAAATATCTCTCTAAAGATGAAAATATTGATTTTGTAAAATTTTCTCATATTTTTTCAATTTTGACATATTTTTGGCATATTTTCATTTTGAATTAAACATTTGGTAATATTTCTACAGCTAACAAAACTAAGTAGATAGGATATTAGGATATCATATACAGATCGCATTTATGGCCGATCCTTACGAAATTTTGCATGGGGATAAGATGAGGGTCAGAATAGATGCCTACTCTTTTTGGAGATGATCGTTATATATTTAGGGGTTGAAATGGACCAAAAACTGCAAAATTGTCAGCAGGTCGTAATTATCGCCCGATCCTCACGCACATTTGAATGGGGGTTACGCACATTGCAAAAGCCAAGCAGTTTCGGATGGCCATCCAAAAATATTCAATGTGTGAAATAGTTTGCCAACTTTTGTAGACAAAATACGAAAATGTCCATTCCAGTGACTTTTTGGAGAATTCACAAATACAGGAAAGACGCACTTCTGACTATTTCGTTAACGCTGATTTCGTTGCAGAATATAGTCAAATGTCTGTATCTCATATAGATGCGTTTCAGTCAAAAACCAATAATAAATGTTAATCTTTTGCCACTTCTGAGAGATTATAGGTCTTTGGAAAATATTGGTTCCAGATCTAGGAAGACCATTTACGTGCAACATCTACCAATAAATTGGAAATGAGCAAATTAGTTTAAGTTGCTATTATTCGAAAATTAGAGAACGAAACTTGATGGGTTTCTTTTATTATTTATCACAATATCTTGTGGAATTCTTTCGAGTATCTCGCCTTTATAAACTGTATCGTTTATTATAGTGTTGTAGGGTATTCAACGGTCGGCCCCGCTCGACTGTAGTCTTTGCTTACTTGTTTTGAAATGAATTTATGGCAGCCAGGTTTTGTTGGTACTTCCAACACAAACCAAGTGTTTTGGATTTATAGGTTGACCTTTTTTTAATTTTTTATACCCTCCACCATACTATGGAGGGTATATTAAGTTTATCATTCCGTTTGTAACTCCTCGAAATACTCATGTCAGACCCAACAAAGTATATATATTCTTGATCAGTGTAAAATTCTAAGACGATTTAGCCACGTCCTTCTGACTGTCTGTGTGCCTGTCCGTCTGTCTGTTGTAATCACGCTATCTTTCGAACGAATTGAGATAGATGGCTAAACTTTTGCACACATGTTTATTTTGCCAGTAGGCACGTTAAGTTCGTAAATTGGCTATGTAGGTCCATGTTTTCATATAATCCCCATATAACGGTACCTCCCGATATTCGGTATTTTGATTATTTAAGCGAAATTATTTACCGGAATTTTTTCAAATTTGGCATTTGAAGTTCGAAATGAATACTACAGCCAAGACAGAAAATTATCTGTGCAGGTCCACGTCTTCGTATAGCCCCCATACAACGTTACTTCCCGATATTCGGCATTTTGATGATTTTAGCGACATTATTCACCGGAATTGTTTCAAATTACGTATTTAGAGTTCGTAATGGGAACTACAATCTGTGACAGAAAATTGTCTATGCAGGTCCAGGTCTTCGTATAGGCCCCATATATCAGTACCTCCCTATATTCGGTATTTTAACGATTTTATTTACAATACTCACCGAAATTGTTTGAGATGTCGTATTTGAAGTTAGAAATAGAAGCTACAGCATGTGACAGAAAATTATCTATGCAGGTCCCGGTCTTCGTATAGCTCCGATATAACGGTACCTCCCTATGTACGGTAATTTGATGATTTTAGCAACATTTCAAGTTTCGAATATAAATATGGTAATGGCTTATGACAAACAATGCCTATGTAGGTTCACGTCGTACAGACCCTAATATAACGGCTATATTCGGTATTTTTAAGATGTTAACAGAATTTTTGAAATTTTATCTTTTTCGAAAATTTCCAAATTCGTTGCAAATGGTGGGGGTTATCAAAGTTCGGCCCGGCCGAACACTCTGCTTTTTAACTTGTTATACTTTCTACCATACTATGGAGGGTATATTCATTTTGTCATTCCGCCTGTAGTTCATCGAAATAATGATCCCAACAAAGTTTATATATTCTTTATCAGCGTAAAATTCTAAGACGATCTCATGTCCTTCTGACGGTCTGTGTGCCTGTCCGTATGTCTGTTGTAATCACGCTATCTTTCGAACGAATTGAGATAGATGGCTAAACTTTTGCACACTTGTTTATTTTGCCAGTAGGCAGGTTTAGTTCGTAAATGGGTCATGAAGGTCCACGTTTTCATATAGCCCCCATATAACGGTACATCCAGATTTTCGGCATTTTAATGATTTTAGCGACATTATTCACCGGAATTGTTTCAAATTTGGTATTTAAGATTTGTAATGTATCCTACAGCCTATGACAGAAAATTATCTGTGCAGGTCCACGTCTTCGTATAGCCCCCATACAACGTTACTTCCCGATATTCGGCATTTTGATAATTTTAGCGACATTATTCACCGGAATTGTTTCAAATTACGTATTTAGAGTTCGTAATGGGAACTACAATCTGTGACAGAAAATTGTTGTATGCAGGTCCACCTCTTCGTATAGCCCCCATATAACGGTACCTCCCGATATTCGGAATTTTGATGATTTTAGCGTCATTATTCACCGGAGTAGTTTCAAATTACGTATTTAGAGTTCGTAACGGGAACTACGGCCTGTGACAGAAAATTGTATATGCAGGTACAGGTCTTCGTATAGGCCCCATATATCAGTACCACCCTATATTCGGTATATTGACGAGTTTAGGTACAATACCCACCGAAATTGTTTGGGATGTCGTATTTGAGGTTCGAATCGGATGCTACAGCCTGTGACAGCAAATTGCCTATGCAGGTCGAGGTCTTCGCACAGCTCCGATATAAGGTACCTCCCTATATACGATATTTTGATGTTTTTACCTACATTATTTACCGTTTATTTCAAGTTTCGAATTTGAATATGGTAATGGCTTATGGCAAACAATGCCTATGTAGGTCCACGTCGTATAGACCCCAATATAACGACAATATTCGGTATTTTTAAAATTTAACAGAATTTTTTAAGGATTTTATTTTTTAAAAATTTCCAAATTCGTTCCAAATGGCGGAGGGTATTCAAAGTTCGGCCCGGCAGAACACTCTGCTTTTTAACTTGTTATACTTTTACCATGCTATGGAGGGTATATTCATTTTGTCATTCCGCTTGTAGTTCATCGAAATAATGATCCCAACAAAGTTTATATATTCTTTATCAGCGTAAAATTCTAAGACGATCTCATGTCCGTCTGACTGTTTGTGTGTCTGTCTGTCCGTCTGTCTGTTGTAATCACGCCATCTTTCAAACGAATTGAGATAGAAGGCTAAAATTTTGCACACATGTTTATTTTTCCAGTAGGCAGGTTAAGTTCGTAAATGGGCCATGTAGGTCCTCGTTTTCGAATAGCCTCCATATAACGGTACCTCCCTATAATCGGCATTTGCATGATTTTAGCGACAGTATTTAACGGAATTATTACAAATTTCGTATTTGAAG